TAAAATTATAACATAAATATGTTATAAAATCACTACAAAATAGCCATTTTGTTTCAACACCTTTGGTGTCAGTTGTTGAATATATATATATATATATATATATATATATATATATATATATACATATATATATATATATTATATACAGATATATAAATATATATACATATATATATATATATATATATATATATACATATATAAATACATACATATATATATATACATATAAATACATACATATATATACATACATATATATATATATACATATATATATATACATATATATATATATATATATACATACATATATATATATATATACATACATATATATATATATATATATATATATATATATATATATATATATATATATATATATATATATATATATATATATATATATATATACATATATATATATATATATATATATATATATATATATATATACATATATATATACATATATATATATATATATATATATATATATATATATATACATATATATATATATATATATATATATATATATATACATATATATATATATATATATATATATATATATATATATATATATATATATATAGATATATAATTAATGAAAAACAGACCACTTTTAAGGTAACATTACAATAATTTATTTCACCAAAATCATTTTTAAAGGACTCGGATCATCAGGTAACAATTCCAACAATGAAATGAAAGGAAAAATGGGATTAGAAATTGATGGGGTGCAGTGTAATTTTTGTAATTTAACAGGGGGTGAGAGTTGTAGTTAAAGACAAGGTAGAATATAGGAGGGGCTAATTTATATCTCTGAAGCATGCTTTTTATTTGGGGTAGGAGGAGGACCAAACCATGACCTATTTAGATGGTTAACTTAATGGAAATGATATATAGGAATGGGAGGGGCGTGGGGAGAAAAGAAAAGGAAAAATGGAAAAGAGAGAGTAGACAGACAACAGTAATACAGATATATCCAAATGAGTGTTACGGCAAAGAGAGAGGGGGAGGGGGAAGTGAATTGAAAGAGGCTGTAATTTTGTTTATAGATATATATATATATATACATATACAGTGGGTCGCAAAAGTTTTTAACACATTGGTTTTTCTTACATATCTCAAAAAATAACAGATCAATTTCAACGAAACTTATAGGAAATTTTTAAACGAACATTGTCGATAAAACATAGTAGGAAAATTTAAAACCACTGTTTTGAGAAACATTTATTAACAATAAATAAAATAACCCATATACAAAAGTATTTAACACCAATACAAATATTATGCTAGAAAGACGTGTTGTCATGATTCCAACTCATATTGATATGATGTGATATGTCGACCAATGACAGCACTGCACGACACTCAACTGGCTATTAAATAACAGCTCTGAGACACTGCAGCTATTCTGTTGCCACTACTGCAAGAAAATGGTGAAAACAAAAGAACTGTCAAACGACATGTGCAAGAAGATCATAAAGAATCACAAAGATGGTACGGGATATAGAAAAATTACTCAAGATTTGAATTTGCTTGTGAGTACAGTTGGTGCTGTTGTTCGAAAATGGAAAAAATTTGATACTATTGAAAACATTCAAAGGAGTGGTCGTCCCCGTATCTTAAATGAGGCTAATGAGCAATACATATCCCGTACTGTGAAGAAAAATCCATTCTCAACTCGTTGAGAAATTCAGAAAGATTTGAAAAATGCCGGAATTGAAGTTAGTAAAGATACAATTAAAAGATCACTGAATCGTGCAGATCTCACTTCAAGATCATCGAGAAAGATTCCATTACTGAAACGCCGACATGTAAAAGCCTGTTTGAATTTTTTAAAGAAATATGAAATTGAATCTAATGATTTCTGAGATAAAGTAATTTGGTCAGACGAAACGAAAATTGAGCTTTACGTACGAAATATGCGCACTAATGTATGGAGGAAAAAAGGAGCGGAATACGAGCCAGCAAATACCATCCCTACGGTCAAACATGGGGGTGGAAATATTATGATGAGGGGTTGTTTTTCCTCAAATGGAGTAGGAAAAATGAAAATCATCGAAGGAACAATGAATGCTGCAAAATACACTCAAATTTTGTCAACTCAGATCTTGAACAGTGCCAAATCTTTAAGACATGGTCATGATTTTGTATTTCAGCAAGACAATGACCCAAAGCATACTGCTAAAACAACTAAGAATTGGTTTAATAATAATGACATTAATGTCCTGGAATGGCCAAGCCAGTCACCGGATTTAAATCCAATTGAAAATTTGTGGAAACTATTCATAAAAGAAATCCATCGAATTTAAACAAATTGAAGAAAATTTGTGAAGAAGAATGGGTCAAAATACAAGACTACGGGAAACGACTATGAAGCAGAACAGAGGCTCCTGTACTAAATATTAGTAAAGTGTGTTAAATACTTTTGCATATGGGTTATTTTATTTATTGTTAATAAATGTTTCTCAAAACAGTGGTTTTAAATTTTCCTTCTATGTTTTGATTGACAATATTCGTTTAAATATTTCCTATAAGTTTCGTTGAAATTGATCTGTTATTTTTTGAGATATGTAAGAAAAACCAATATGTTAAATACTTTTGCTACCCACTGTATATATATACATATATATACATATATACATATATATACATATATACATACATATATATACATCTATACATAAATATATATATACATATATATATACATATATATATATATTCATATCTATATATATATACATAAACACAAAATATATATATATACATATATATATATATATATATATATATATATATATATATATATATATATATATATATATATATATATATATATATATATATAAACACAAATATATATATATATATATATGTATATATATATATATATATATTAATACTTAGAGATGACTGCGTCTAGCATGAAACATACTGTCGCCTCTAAGTTTTGATTTCAATATATCACCTTTTAGATTTACACACCTCTATCTCTGATATTGAGCACTTTATCCCATAAATATAGCACACCCTAAAACTATAATTCTTCATATATATATATATATATATATATATATATATATACCCATATATATGAATTTATATACATATATATATACATACATATAAATATATATATACATATATATACATATATATATACGTATATATATATACCCATACATATACATATATATATATACATATATACACAAATATATACACATATATATATATATATATAAAGTTTATTAACAGCTACAAAGGACAGGATATTGTGGAGAGCCATGATCACTATGGAGAGTTATATTCTGAAGAGGCATGGCACATAGAAGAGGAAGGTGAGAAAACTATAGTTCATGGGCTGAATATGGGTCGAAGCTGGTTTGAGTGCAGCCTGCAAAAGTATTTAAAAGAAAAATAATTTTGCGTATTATTATGAAGATGAGAACCACATTTCTGTTGCTTTTACAGAAATGTGGTTCTACAGAAGGATGCTGAGAATACCATGGACTGAACACGTGAGCAATGACAAAGATTCAGAGAAAATGAAAAAAAAAAGGATTCATACAAAGAATCAGAAAGATACAGTTGAAATTTCTAGGGAACATAATGAGGAAGGAGGCTTGTAAAATTTGACACTCACAGGATATATTGAAGACAAAAAAAGGACAATGAAGGACAGTGCATAATCTACCTCAGGAGCTTGTGTAAATGGATTGCAGAACAGGGTTTAGGAGAGACAATATTTACTTAGAGCTACAAAGGACAGGAAATCGTGGAGAGCCATAATTGCTAATGTCCTGAAGGAACATGGCACATAGAAGAAGAATGTAAAATTGAAAAAGAATCATTTATTTTGCCTGGAAAATATTTATTTTTCCAACTTCATCTTCCTTGTCAATGCACTTCATATTAATCACATAGACTGAACATTATGCATTGAAAACTTCAGATTAGGGTTTAGTTTAGCGTCAGGCTACAGACTTATTGATCCAGGCTTGTAAATTTTATCTCCCATATTTAAGCCACAGTAGAAAAGCTACCATTGCAACTGTTCAATGGCTCTGCATCAGGATTCAGATTGATATATGATACTACAAGTAAATAATGGCGTATCCACACTTATTTCTATATGACCAAAAAACATCCATATCTTCTTCCATGTGACATGTTCCTCTACACAACAGCCTGTCCTTTGTAGCTCTTAGTAAAGCTTCATTTTTTTTATATCTCTCCTAATCACTGTTCTGCCAACTACTTATATAAACTCAATATATCTTATGAGTGTTGAATTTTCTAAGCCCTTTTTCTTCATTACATGTTGCTAAAACTTCAACTGTATTTTCTGATTCTAAGTATAAGCATCCTTTTTGTCTTAATTTTCCCTAAAACTTGGTCGTTGCTCACATGTTCAGTCCATGGTATTCTCAGCTTCCTTCTGTAGAACCATATTTCTGTTTCCTTCTCTTCTTCATCTTTGAGGAGGTTGTAGAGCATATATAGCAGTCCAGTTCTCTTTTCTTTGTTTCTAATGAAATTTTCCCATTTGTTAATACATTGCTTAATTTCTGCAAGGCATCATTCGCTATTTCCATTTCTGTAACCCTATTTCTCTTTCCTTCATTTACCTAATAAAAAACATGCGTCTCTTATTGCATTATAATCTCTTTAAAATTTGCACACACAGATTACCTCTTTTCATTTTCTAGAATTTTCAGTTTTATTTTTTATGGCTTTCAGCCTTTTTGTGGTTATTTAAAGCTGAAACATATTTTTGATTGTAAGAACTTTTTTGAAGATAATAATAATTTTCTGATACACGTTTTGCTATTTAACCCATAGCTGTGGGTAGAAAAAGTGAATTCATACTTTTCCCAAGGATATTTGTATGTAAGGTAATAAAACAAACTGGTATTTTAACTTGACCTTCTGATTTCTCATTCCGAACCTTTATCCATTACCCAACCCGTACATCCAAGCTTACAGCATCTGGTATTCCTCAGCAGTAACCTATCTAGGTGCTGACCTGGTTCAACATTGCTTAACTTCAGTGATCGGACAAGAAACAGTGTTTCAACGTGATATGGCCGTAAGCCATTTCCAGTGGAAATCCATGTGCATTACTATGAAGAAGATTTTCAAATCTCTTCTAACGTCGAATCTTTGTTAGATCGCTGAACGAGAAAGTTGTAAACAGATAAAATCTAAAGCATTTAACCTGAAGCTATGATTTTATCCAAATCTATTTCTCCATATTTCTCTGATTTGGGCACCCCCGTCACTCTTCTCCTCCAAAGTTCATCATTGATCACTTCAAATTATTTCCATTGGCTGATGCAGCTGTTGATCTTCTACCAGAACTTAGTCTCTGAAATTTTTTACTATTTATTTATTTTTATTTAAAGTTTTTTTATTTTTTTTTTTATTTACAGTAGGAGTAGACAGGGTTATCCATTATGTGGTTCATATAGCTCTCCCCTATTTTGAACAGGAATAGATGTTTATCCCTTGTTTCCTGTTTAGGATTGGCTTTCTGGTTCCTTCTAAAGTCTTTTCATTCTCTTTCCCTCCCAGCAACACTTTGTGTCTTAATGGCATCATTGCCTTGCTTTGGGTGAAAAAGAACTTAATTCAATAACTGATCATTTTCATTTAAATATTCATTTTTGCAATTAAGTATGAAAAAGTTATTTATTTTTTCTTATATCCTTTTTAATTAAATCCCATTAAAACAAAATTAAATTAATTACTAGATCATCTGCAGTAAATTTACATCCAGGTTCTTACAACATTTCACCTTTATTGGCAGATCTTCTATTATCACAATGTGGGATATTTAATAAGAAAAGTAATAAAAACATAAACAAAAGAAAAAACTAAATGAAATCAGATACACTATATACTCAAAGCAAATATTAAAAATATATATTCAACACTATTTACATTATTTGGACTATTGTCCTCATCTTTGTCACCATATTTATTACAATGTTTTGGCCATTGTATGCTCCAGCCTTCTTCAGGTGGTTGCCGAAATATTGTAATAAATATGGTGACAAAGATGAGGACAATAGTCCGAATAATGTAAATAGTATACATAATACCTCATCTCAAAAATATAGACAAATATATTCAAATTTAAAATTTTAGTGTCCCCTCTCCTTCATGCACATGTGTAGTTACATCAAAATAAATATTACTTTAGTCCAGTGATGTCCTAAAAGATGAAATGCTTTACACAAAAACATTTTTCCATTTTATCATAGATTTCCCTAAAATTGTTCTTGGTGTATAAAAATTTATATATCATTTTCCTATAAAATTCTATAAAAATTTTAATAACTTTTAAATTATTTATGCTTGCTTATAAAAAAAACTTCATTACTTTCAAAAGCTAAAGTTACATTTATTTTATGTTTTCTTTCAGTGTATGCACTAATTTTTTCTGTTAAGTGATGACAAGGCAGATATAAATTCTTTCTACAAAAACATGATGAATTAAAAAAAATTATTGACAGAAACATTAGTTATATATGGCAATTTTTAATTTGAATTAAAAATAAATAACACAGATGAAATATTTATTAAAATGTATTTCTTATGCAAATTAAATATGACAGCTTATGTTGTAAATGCAATTTGTTATTATTATATATGAAAGCATGATATCAAAAGAACCTGCCCTCTCCCCAGCACAGGAGTTAACTATTGAGGGTTTATGAGGTGTGGTTATCACTCCCTGTGTTCTAAGTGGATCTATGTTTCTCTTCATTTTAGATGGGAGAAGTTGTTAAGCCCTGGGGATTCCAATCCTGAGGCAGCACCTTCCTCATTGCACTAAAGCGGTCAGGTCAGTGTAATACCGATGCCAGTGTGATAGTGGTAGCAGGGGTTGGTCAAAAATCAATTTTTGTCCTTGATCCATATGTATAAGTAAGTATATGGTGCTCCCCACATTAAAAGGACCTTGTGTCATACCCAGCCTTGGTTAGGAGGCCAGGTAAACATACCTGTCCTACCTCAATGTTACATACATAAACATTGATTGTTTATGTATTAATGATGCTGTACATTTTGTTCTACTGATGTTTGTTCTACTCAAGTCACAGACAAAATTTAGCACTATGAAAATTTATAAAATATTTATATGTTTTGGCCATTGTGCACTCTGGACTTCTTTAGATGTTTTTTTTTTTCAGTGAATTAACAGCAGATTACATGTTGCAAGATACACAGAGAGGTCCTACAGCATGAACTTTTCTGACATTGTCAAATTAAATATGGCTTGAACTGATGTTTGGCAACTATTGCCATTGTTTTTTACTGTACCATTTCAGTTGTATCACTCTGTTAGTCTCCATAACCATATTCAGGCCAATACATCAAAGTCACACTGTCTCTGATTCTCACTGAAATTTAAATCAGCAAACCTTTCCACAAGAGAAACATTTTTCTGTAGTAATAAATAGCATAACGCATATGGTCTGTATTGGCTACTTTAATTGTCTACAATATGAAAATTTTGCTAATTACTTGTCAGTGACGAGAAAGGGTAGAATGAGTGAAAGAAATTTCCTTAGCTTACCACTGCAGACACATGCTCTATGTGGCAAAGATTTTCACTGAAGAATTTTGGAAGGAGAAACTTCTTTTTTACAAGGAAAACTTTAATTCTTGCTAATTGCTGATTCATCACCCAATGAAAAAGCACCACCACAGTGAGTGAAATAAAGGGTTCGGTTTGACATTCCAACCACCTGAAGAAGGCCGGAACATACAACAAAGCATTGTGATAAATATGGCAACAATGATGAGGATGATAGTTTGAACAATGTAAATAGTGTACATAATACCTCATCTCAGAAATATAGACAGATACATCCTACTTCATTTTCCTTTTTTTATGGGAATTGTAATCATCAACTGATCTTATCAATTATATAATATTTCAGAAATACAATGTATTTCTAGCATTCATTATTATATTTTTCATTATGAACATCCATAATTATATTTTTTTCCATATTATTTCATAATAAAGAAAGAGAAATGACAGCAAGGTTTCAACAGCAGAATAGAGGAGTGCAGTCAAGTAGCAGCAGACGCAGGATACATCAGCAGGTAAGTTAGCTTTAAGGCTCCAAGTTTTCCATGTAGAATTGTCCCATACATAATAGATTACAGCCAGAGCTGGCACAATGGTCTTGTGCCCCCCTGAATCTATGATACCCCCCAATCTATGATACCCCCAATCTATGATACCCCCCAATCTATGATATGGGGCTCCACTCTACTACATCTCAATTTTCATAGGCTAGTATTCATGTAAAATACAAATTTTATTGTAACCTAATTATGTACTCTAATGGTATGACATGCAATATAGGTGAACAATTCAACAACAAAAATTGAAAATAAATACAATGTATCTAAATACAAATTAGAGACATGTCATAATGTTTTGTGGCAATTTTTAACATCAACTTGAGATTTTTCTTGTTAAAATGTGCAATAATTTTAACACATTCAACATTGTGGAAAAATAGTGAATTTTATAGTGTTTTTTCAAGGCTTAGCCTGAAGAAAACAAATTCACCGATTTGGACAAAAAGAAATGACGTCAAAATCCATGAAAACTTTTAATAGTTGTGCTTAGTTCAATTTGTAACATATAAATGTAGGTAAAAACAAAATGCTGATAAGATAGTAAAGGTCACAAAACACTGCCTGGGACCCCAATCAGGCTTGGACCCCAATTGATTACAGCATTGGTTGGTAATTTGGTGACAGTAATCATGAGTTCAATCCTTGGGCTGGGTAATATGTACTTAGATTCAGTAGAAATGGAGTCAGTAATAACTGAGAATAGCTAAATAAAAACTAGATGCAATATCCCTAGACATGGTCAGTGGAACAAGAACAATCTACTCCTGTTGATGTAATAAAGGGTTCAGTATTAAATCTTCTGAAGGTTACATGGATTCGCATGCCAAAAGGCTATGATAACAAGAAATATGAAGACAATAGTGTGCATGTAATTAACGATAACTCCTCATCTGAACTTATTCTCTTCTAGTTTTTTATGGTGATTTTTACCCTGTACAAGGCCCAAGAGCTACTCGAGGTTGAAGGTTACAGAGGCACAGTTTATGGGGATATGTGTGGAAGATAATCTTTGATCCTAGACTTGAACTGGCCAAGATTATAGTGATCAGAGAGCATCCTCTTGGAAGTCAGTTCCACAAGGTAGCAGTTTGTAGGAAGAAGCTGCTCAAGTGGAACTTACATCACACCAATGAAATATAAAGGGAATGAGGGTGGTTCAATATAATGTGCAGGGCATGGTGGGTCTTAGTTGTGAAGGTTAGAAGTGGTGAAATTAAGCAATGTAGTTCATCTGAACACCTTCCATTGAAATAGCAATAGAGCATTTTGAGGTTTGCAATGTTTAGTCTGTGGTAAAGGGACTGCAGAGTAGAAAATAATTTGTCACCTGCAAGGAAGCAGAGATGCCTTTGGATTTTATTGAAACTTGAAAGTGAAGACTGGGCAGCTCCTGCCCATATATGGCAGCAGTAGACCATTTTTGGTCTGATCTAGCTCTTGTAAAGATAAAGAATAGTAGGAGGAGTCAGGTACTTACTGGTGTGGTACAGAAAACTAATCAATTTTAGGAATGGATAGTATTTACGATTTTCACCTGAGATCTGGGTTGAGTTTAAGTCCCAATAGGTGTCCTCCTGAGAAAGAATTCTTTCATCGCAGTGAGTGAAAATTCGGGATCCGCTTGGATGGAACATCACTAGTGTGGTTTTCTTCTATTTTATACATGCAATGTTGCATTTTTTGGTCCAACACATAAGGACATAGCAGAATTGAAATTTGAGGAGTTTGGTAAGCAGGGAAACATAGTGAAGTCTTCTTCATGTTTCTGAAATCATTCCTACACAACTTCTGTGACAGAGTGCATTGCTATTATGAAACCTGCGGCTGCAATTACAGATTACTGCTACCATAAAAATGTGTACTTGAACTTCAAAGACTTTCAGGTTGCCTGCATAATCGAACTCAGTGTATCCCAGAAGAAAACTGC